TACTTGTGTGCTTGCGCCCCTTGGAGGCATCTTGTTCGTGTCCAAACTGTAATCTTCATATTCAATAAACACCCCTTTTTGGGACTTTGTTCCAAGAGGTTTGTCCCTTACACAATCGTCTGATTCCCTTTTTAATTGTTAGCGAGCGAAAAACGCGCGAAACAATTACATATCTGATTAACAGAATTCCATGAAGTGCTACTGACTTTCAAGTCCCTAAAAATTGTGGTCTAAAAAGTCTCCAGATTATTCTAGACTTGAGGTGTTTGGCTATGTAGCCCATTCTCACCGAAGTGAAGGTAAAGTTGAACCTAGATCCTTAAAATGTGTTTTTCTAGGCGATGGGAATTAATAGAGTTTAGGTTAAAGAAAAAAGTGGTTTCAAGGTTATTATTAGTAGGGATGCCATTTTTAATGAAAATGACATGTCCTAAATTGTTTCTTCAAATCTGAAATGTATTGAAGCTCCACTATCATCAAAACTATTTTAGAAAATCAAGAAGACAATCCTATTGAATCCAATTATCTGATTAAGGCGGAGACTTCTCAATCTAAGGAAGATCAAGCTCAAACTAAATCTGAAAATGAAAATCAGCCCCAAAATTCTATTCTTGTTGATTGTCAGTTGACTAGGGATATGAGAGAAGAAATAGATTCCCTTCTACAAGATTCAACAGTTGTGACTTTGTGACCATTTTCTCTGCTTTATACTCTCTTATCTCTGAACCTTCTACCTTTGAAGAAGCTGTTAACTGTAAAAAATCAAATGCTTGGAAAGAAACCATGAAAGGTTAAATGGATTCCTAGATTAAAATAAAATTTGGATTCTCGTTAACGGGCCTTGTAATCATAAGATAGTTGATTGCAAATGGGTTTGTAAAGTTAAAGAAGATGAGTCTAATGATAAAAATAAGAGGTATAATGCTAGACTAGTAGCTAAAGGATTGACACAAAGAAAAGGTATTGATTATAATGAGATATTCTCTCATGTTGCTAAATACACTTTTATCAGAATTCTGTTTGCCTTGACTGCTCACTTTAACTTGGAATTATATCAGCTTTAAGTTAAAACTGCATTTTTTGAATGGTGATCTTGATGAAGTTATATACGAGTCCGTAAAATGGTTTTGAATTTAAGTCTAAATCTGAAAAAGTTTATTTATTTAAAAAATCTCTTTATGGCTTAAAACAAGCACCCAGAAAATGGTATAAGGAATGCAAGCCTTATGTTCAAGATTTGGGTTTTGTAAAGAGAAATTTTGATTCTTTCTTTTTTATAAAGGGTTAGGTAGACCTGATTTGTTTATTTGTTACTCTATGTTGATGATATACTTCTTGCTTGCCATTATAGACCTGAGATAGATTTAATTAAATCAAAATTGAAATTTGAGTTAGAAATGAAAGATCTAGGTCAATCTAAAATAATTTAGACATGAAAACTAAAAGAGATAGAAGTAATTGTACTCTCCATGTGAATCAATCCTCTTATGTGAATGAAGTATTTGAAAAAAATTCTATATTTGAATGCAAACTTGCTTCATTGCCTATTGCTAATCACTTTAAAATGTCAACTGAACAATTACCTACAACTAATGAAGAATTTGAAATAATAAATAAAATACCTTATGCTAATATTGTTGGCTCTATTGTGTATCTTATGGTATGCACTATACCTGACTTGGCTCATGACATAAGTATTTTGAGTAGATTTATGGCAAATTCAGGTGAAAAACACTAGCTTGCTATAAAATTGATGTTAAGATACTTAAAAGATTCATATTTGTAGGATTAAAATTTAAAAGGTATAATGAAGGTATAATCTTGAAGGGCTACACATTCAGATTTTGCACATGAACTAGATAAAGAAGATCTACGCCTTATATTTGTACACTTTATGATGGGTGCATTAGTTGGAAATCCCAACTGTAAAAATTAGTAACTATGTCTTCTACGGAGGCAAAATACATTGCTGCATCTGATGCTATTAAGGAGGGACTTTGGTTAATGGGTTGTTAAAGGAAATTGGTTTTATTAATGAAGTTGTTAGGGAGTATACTCACAACAAAAGTGCTATTCACCTTAGTAAGAATCATGTGTACCATGATAAAATCAAATATGTTGATATAAAGTTTTATTTTGTAAGAAACGTTGTAGAAAAAGGATTGATCACATTAGTTAAGATTCTTACTTAATTCGAACCTTTTGATCTTGGTACCAAGGTACTCCATTTAAATAAGTTTAAAAACTGCTTGAAGATTCTAAATATTAATTGAAATGTAGTCTTTATTTAGAATATCAAGCTTCATTTTTTAAGGTGTAACTAACTTACATTTTTTATTTTTTACAGGTTTGCTAGAGTAAATGAAACAAGTATTTTGTCTCAGAACACTAAATGAAGCAAAAAATAGTTAAGGTAGAGATTGTTAGTTATTGGGATGCATCACTATTTTTACTTGGGCCTTTGGAGTTGGGCCCATTTGTGTAATTCGGTTTTGACCATGTAACTTATAAAACACATTCTTGGAAACACTCTTTTGGTCTTATATTGGTGATGAGATCTGGCCTTACATGTGGTCTATTTGTAGGCGTTCGATCTAACTTTTGGGGTGCCTATAAAAGGCTCCCTTAGCCTTGTTTTTATATGAATGTGTGTATTGCATTAGGATTTTCCTCTGGCTCTTCGTTTCTCTCTATCAATTTTTCAATGGTGCCATATCAAAGGCTTCCTTAGCCTCGTTTTTATATGCATGTGTGTATTGTATTAGGGTTTTCCTCTGGCTCTTCGTTTCTCTCTATTGGTTTTTCAATCTCTGTAAATCTTGAGTGGATTCTTAGATGTACTTAGTGTGCTATGAGATTGATTATGGTGAACTTTGTATGTGAGGCAAGAGTAAAACATTGAAGAAATCCCTGATTTCTTCGTACATTTATACCGTACTGTTCCGGCTGATCAACAATAGACTAAAAATACTTCTCGATCTCATGTGGGTTTTTAATTCTTGAATCAACCATCTACATAAGATAAGATCCAATATGTTTAGTGTTGACATGTAAGCAACACTAAGAGGAACATATTCAAGTGCAATATCATTTATCTAAGATAAGATCCAATATGTATAGTGTTGATACGTAAACAACACTAAGAAGAACATATTCAAGTGCAATATCCTTTAGCCTAACTACTTTCGAGCTAAGAGATTCAAACTGTATGGTTGAAATACTTGAAGCTTTATATAATATTGGTCCTCTACCGAAATCACTTTCACGCATATCTATTTGATATGTTCTTCTTGATCACTTTTTTAGTCTCCTTATTATCTGCATTTGTTTTAGATCATTTAAAACTTAAGAACTGAAAACTTATGCGAACTCTAACATTGCTACACAAGCATGTCATCGAGATTT